CGCTTTTTCTTCCGTCGTTTTTTAGCAATTTTTTAGTAGTGACTAGAACCATCCTTCGTTGTGAGTAGGATTTTACCGAGGAATTTAAAATTTCTTAAGTGTTAAGGTCACTAGATATAGCACCTTGAGTTCCAAAAAGAACTAAAGAGAATTCATTCAAGTTATTCGTAAGTTCTTTAAATTTTGGGTCAACTTCAAACGACCATAACTTTCAGTACATGATGAGTTGGGTGGCTCATAAGATATCAAATGAAAGGTCTTTGAATTATCTTTCCAATGCCACCAAGTTTGCTAAGTTTCAAATTCAGATGAGTGAGATATGCCCTTTTGAAGTCAACCTGTCCATTTAAGGAAAGTTACTAGAAATTATGAGGGGTATTTTAATCTTTTCCTTACCCCTTCAGCTTAAATCATTTTAAAATAATAATTTAGGGGTCTAATCATCCCAATACGCTTAGGGTTTTAGAAGAGAGTTCAAGAATAGAAAAGAGGAAGGGTTTAAAGCGTTCGTCGAGATTCTTGAGTTTCGTTGGTTTGATCTCTAAGAGGTATGCAAGTTTTCATAGTGTTGGGTTCGTTTACCCACACATCAATCATGAGTTTCTTTTACGAATTTCATTCATAAGTTTGAGTATGTTGAGTTCTTGATAAATGTTCTTGAAGTTCATTCTAAATCTTGTTTTGTTGGGGTTTTGATGAATTCTTGAGATGAAAGTTATTGATTTGAGGGTTGTAATGAGTGGATTAGTGTGTACATAGGTTGAGTATTCGGTTCTAAGTGATTGGGGAAGAAACCATTCGATTCTAGTCCAATTAAGGTCAGAAAATGAGTAGAAAAAATTGTCGGAATTGTCTGGGGGAATGGTGGTGTGACGCGCCATGGATGCGCCAAGATAGTGCCACTGAACTTTAGGGGCTGGCAGCCCGCACCAGGAATGCGCCAGGGTAGCCTGCCCCCACTCATTTTCCGTCAGCTGTCCCGTTTGAGTTCCTTTGAAGTGTATCTTCACCCCTTATTATTCTAACTACTCTAAACTACTTCTAAACACCTAGAAATCATTCATAACATGAATCATAACCTTGAATTAATAATTCAAATTCAAGGTAGAGTTAAGAGTTACGTCTTGAGAGTTCTTTCGAACATTTTGAGAAAGTCCCTTTGAGGCTTTTTGAGGAGTCTTCTACAAATTCAAATAACTTGTTTCAAGACTCGATCAAGTGAGTATAAGAATGAGGAGAATGTATTCATGAGTCTACATTATCATCACGAGATCCTTCATATCATGAATCATAACTCTTAAATTCATAATTCAAATTCAAGAGAGAGTTAAGAGTGGAGTTCAAGAAAGTCTTTGAGTTCAATTGTGAATCATTTGAGATCAACTATCGATTTGAACTAAGTTTTGAGAAAGTAAGTATGAGAATGAGAAAAGTCGTATACATGAGTTCCGTATTGTTATGTAGACCCTTGAGTCGAGTCGTTCATGCTCATAAATTCCGCATCAACTTCATAAATTGAGCATCTTTGAGAGGAGTAGTATCTTCAAGTTCTTATTTCTTGAGCATTGAGTTCCTAACCCTTTTGGGATTATATTCCTAATCATGGGACTACTACATGTTACCCATGAAGGTCCTTGAGTTGAGTGGTTCATGCCCATAATTTCGCATGAACCCTATGAGTCGAGCAGTCTTGAGATGAGAAGTATCATTGAGCCTTTGAGTTGAGTAGTTCATGCCCATAATTCCGCATGAACCCCCCGAGTCGAGCATTCTTGAGATGAGTAGTATCATTAACTCCTTGAGTTTTGGAGTTGATGAGTTCCAAGTATTCAAAACCTTGAATTGAGTCGTTCACGTCCATAATTCGGCATGAACCCTATTTTAAGAAGTCTTTTTACAAATTGTTTTAAAACTTGTTTTAAAGACTTCAGCACCTAGTTGAGGAAGAGTAGAGCTAAATTCATTTTCTTTAAAATGATATGGGAACTAAGTATTCCCAAGAGTAAATGTTTTTATATTTAAGATGAGAGGAAACTGAGATTTCCAAAAGAGTTTTGAGCAGTTTGAGTACTATCTCTTTTAAGAGAAAGATTTTTGAGTAATAATCTCAAATCACAGAAAGAGGAAATGTTTTCTTTAAAACATAATGAGCTAAGTATATTTTGGGAGTAGTATTGAGCACCGATATGGGGGAGAGTTCATACAACTCATAGCCCTCATAAACCATGTAGCCAACATGGGTAGAAAGGGTCATTTTTTAGATGATTCCTTAATGCTTTTAGCATAGACTAGTGGATCCACTTAGTAGTAAGTTTTATACCCCGGCAAAGTATAGGACGGCTCTGACAGCGTGGGTTAGACGTTGTATCATCACATAACTCATTGTGATGGTTGTCGATTTGAGAAACTCCCACAGAGATATTTAGTATTCTTATATACACAGAGTTTACTTTGTATTTTTTCATATACAAGCAGAGTTTATCTTGTATCCTTGCATACAAACTGAGTTACTATTGTATATTTTCAATACATTGAGTTGATTTCTACTGTTTTAAAAGCTTTTCATATATTGCATCTGTATTGTTGTTTTATATTGAGTTGAGTACCCAAAGTTGAGTACCTAGAATCGAGTATCTTATTATTGAGTTGTGCCTTATTTCAGTGAGTTGAATATCTTATTATTGAGTTATGCCTTATTTCACTGAGCTGAATATCTTATCATTGAGTTGAGCCCTATTTCCTCTGAGTTGAGTTGAACTATGTTTCTTTGAGTTGAGTGAGTTGAGAAGAGGTAAGTATATTTCTTTTCCACCAGTTCAAGCTTATGTTTATGCTTTAAAATTCCCCTTATATGCTCGTATATTCCATGTACTGAGCCATTTGGCCTGCATCGTTTCATAATGTAGATACATGTATTCAGAATAATCAACAGGCATTTCGTTGAGGTCATGGGATGTTCCAGTCAGCTTTGGTGAGCCTTCTTATATTCCGAAGGACTTCACCTTTATCTTACAACTAGTAGTTTTGAGATGTCGTGGGTCTTATCCTGATATCCTTCTGTAATAGTAGAGGTTTCATAGATAGACAAAGTTGAGTAGTTTTCAGTATGCATCTTCTTTGAGTTGTTTTACAAACTCTGAGTTTATCTATTGAGTATTGTTCAAATTATTTTGAAATTGAGTATTTGAATTTAATTCAGTTTTTGAGCTTTTGTGCACATGAGTTAGTCTTCCGCTTGTAGTCAGCCAAGATAAGGGTTCGTTTGGGGACCAACAATGATTCTTGAGTGCCGGCCACGTCCAGGGTGTAGACTCGGGTCGTGACATTATGACTAAGAAAAAATGTGAAGTAACTCAAGATAATTTTAACTGGGTTCAATCTCAACTCATTCAAGTCTTAACCCATTTTAAGAGAATCCTCAATTGAGTTCAATTTAATATCCAATTTCAACCCGTTTTAAGACTCTTTATTTGTATTGATGTAATGTATGTTCCTATATTGAATGTATGAATTACTATCTATTCTATATGTTTTATGATTTATCTATCCATTTGCAACTTCTTCTTTTTTAAAATTTTCTTAAGTTGAAATTCAAATTGTGGTTATCAAACTTAACTAACAACATATTAAAATTATTGAGATTAAGTGGGTCAAGACCCAACCCATTTTAAGTCCATTTGAGTCCAAAGTAAATTTGGGCGGGTCAAGACCCAACCCAATATCTATTTCAACCCATTTTAATATTTCCAATTTCAATCCAACCCGTCAATTTGACATCCCTACCTTGTTTGGTAGACTTTTATACACTATATTTGGTATTAGGAACTTTTTTCTTTGTAAAATAAATGGGAGTAGGAAAAGGGGAAATGAGGAGGGGATTATAATGTGGGGAATCGAACCCTCACCAACAAGGTGGGAGTTCAGACAACTAACCAACAAATCTACTAAGACTTTCCGTATTTGGTATTATGGAATATGGGTCATTTGGTATTATGGAATGACTCGAAGAGGTTGGATGTTCACCCCTATTCAAGGGAGCTTGTTATATATAAGCAACTATCAAAGATCGTAAAATCTAGGACAAGTTTAGCAGGCATATTGTAATTTTATAAACTACCTCACCCTCTATATTTCTGAGAACATACAATATGAATATCTACAATAACAAAGACTGAAACATGAAGAAAAGTTAGTCATAAACTCCTTTGGCATGAAAATTGCACTATTCTTTTTGTATATATAGTAGACTATGAACTCTTTGGTACTGAACTCCTATAGTATTCTTTCAATAAAACCAACAATAACATAATCAGTGTAATCTCGCAAAGTACTGTCTGAGAAAGGCACAGTGTATGCAGACTTTACTCTTATTTCAAAGGTAGAGAGGCTATTTCCGATACAAGTCAATAAAACGAACAAGACTACACAATCCAAACAGTGCAAAAGAGAACCTTGCTTACATTAGATAATCTGTGAATGCATTGCTCCACAAGCAGTGAAACAACAATAAATATATAGTCAATACAGAAGCAACAAACCATGTTGGTGTCAAGGCCAATGAACGAAGTTCTTTATCCAAATGTTTTTGTAACTAATCTACCAGAACTTCAAATTTATTAACTTCAAATCAAATCAAACTAAAAAAAATCAAAACTTTTTGTCAGTTCACTTGACTGATAAGTTCTGCTGGCAACATAAAAATTCAGCCTTTCTTGCATTTCCAATAGTACAATAAATCAAGAATCATCCAACAAAGACTTAGATTTCAAAAAGATGTTTTGACTGTGATTTGGACTCAAACCAGCCAGCCCAAAAAAAGTAGAAAAAGAAGCAAATTAAAAGATAAAAACAGTGTGGTCATTTGACAGTTGGTATATAGCTATAAAGAAAAAGATGATTGCTTCGTTTTTGTATTAAATATTAATTGATTTACATGTCTTAACATCTCGATGCTTAGATGACAATTTTCAGTTTTGAAAAGTTGGGAAGTAAAATTGTACTTACTGATAGTCGATGATGATGAATTCTTGAATTTTGCTCCCATTTGAGGCATATGATGGAGGGCTACCATTTATCACGAGGGCAAGAATATCTTGTAGAAAGTAAAGAGTTATTAGTAAGTTAGAATAGTTATGAAAAATGGATTATATGTGTGAAGATATTTTGAGAAGTACCTAATTCAAAGCCTATAGCTTGATAGTCGAAACTGTCAAATGATGTAGCTTTTAGCAGCGTTGGTGGCAGAAGTGGTGGTCCAGAGGGTATAACCTGATCTATTGGTTCAACAATCTTGCCCTTATCAATTGTCCAGGTGAATTGATAAAGAGGATTTCCGTACGCCTTGGTTGAGTCGGAGACAAATGCCCCCGATAGAAAATATGTTTGGAAAGGAACAAACTCATTTACATAATGTGTGATATCTGTACCGTACATGACAACTTTTATTTGAGTTTCCTATGAGAAATTTAATGAAGTTAGAAAAATATAAGGTAACCGAAATAACAGATAGTTAGTATAGACATTCAAAAGTTGTTTGAATTGTTGGGTAAAGTTATTTTTCATAGGGTATATAAAATTTAAAGCATATGAGTATGGGTGGAAGTTTACCCATGGACGTTATATGTAAATCCTATGATCAAAATGGTTTAATCAACAGAATGAATATTACAACAAAATATGTAACTACTGATTTTGCAGACAGTTATTTAAGCAACACAACAACAACATTAAGCAACACTCTTAGCACAAAAACTAATTCTCAAAATCAGTTCACAGACTTATGAGGTTTTTCTGTGCATTCACAAAATCAGTTGACAGACGATTTTGCTAAGCATTTATCCTTCCTCACTATTTGTATAATATTTCACTTATAATACGATCTCTAAGCACTGATCGTTCCTAAATATTTGCATGAGATTTCGCTTATCCTATGTCATCTTAAGCCTTAGGCAACAATGGTTTTAAAGCAGCAATTGCATTTCTTAAATGAATTGGTATCCATACGATTTCAATTTAATTTTTCCTAAATTTCACAAAGAAAATCAACAACATTGAACCCAAACAATAACTTCCCTATAACACAAATAGAAGAGCATGGAATTGAAAAAAAATGAATGAAGACAAATTACATCCAGTAAAAAGCAAACTAAAAATGGTATGCAACATATCTATTTGACTACAAAATAATTTGTGAAAGTAGATGGGTATTTGTTAGTTTAGTGGCAAATACCTCTTCATCTTGTAATATCATCAATTGATATTTCTTGTTACCCTCCCTGTTGGTTTGAGGATGACCTTTATCTACCACTTGGACTTTACAAGTCCATTCTTCTGTGCTTTCCTCGATTTTGTTGATATTCAATCTTTCTGTCATGGCTGGTAACTGAGGTTGAAATATGCAAGCCAACATCATTAACGGAAGAAGAATGGTATGAAATAGAAGGATATATAAGGTTGAATAATAGAGTATAATATTTTATCTACTTATGAAAAGTGTAAGATAGTCTCAAGAAAAAGCTCTTTCAATAATTTCATCATAAACAATGTTATATGTAGATTTGTCGTCATCGTTATCAACTATTGATGGTCTTATCAATATATTAACACAATTGGAACTTGGTGTTTGAAGCGATACACTAAAACAGAAGGAGACACTCATGAAAAATATGTATTAAATTGTGATAATACTGTTGACACTCAGTTTTGGCTCTTCACATAATAATAATAATAATAATAATAATAATAATAATAATAATGATAATAATAAAATATATATACGTTATGAAATTTTTATAGGAGCACGAAAATATTTTTAATTATTTGTTTTTTACCTCATAAATTTATTTCAATTTCTTATAAAAATTTAAAATATTATATTACTACTTACTTTCTCATTTTTTTTTAATAAGTATCGCGTGTAATTGAGAGAGTCATCATATCAGTGCCTTGGGGAAATGCCTACCTTCAGGAGAAGATTACCGAATGAGTTTCAGGGGGCTAGCTTGCTTCCACTGGTGGCGGGCGGGCGAAGGGTCCAAAGGACACGTAGCCGGGGGCGAGTCCAAAATCCAATTGTTCCATTTCTCTTGGCAGAGTTTTAGGCGGCAAGAGACTTTAGGGCTTGTTGGAGCTTCTGAGCGTAACGAATCGAAGCCGAAGACGGATCAAGGTAGCTTGCCTGCCAAGCCGATAGGCGAAGGGCTGAAGGATGGAACGCGCAAAGTAGATCGTGCACCTGTCGTGTGACCCGTTGGTCCTACGGGGATAGAAAGAATCACACGATTCCCTATCGTGATAGAAGCAACAATAGGATAGGAGTGCACAGGTTCGCAACTACACCTCTCGCCTATCGAAGTTCTGTTCAAAAACCTCGTCCGAGAACTTGTATAGAGAAGGATTTCCCGCGGCGCAGCAGTTCTTCCATACCAACTTAGCTGCCCGGCGCTGCTATTGGCATAACAACCGGTACACCATAGGTTAGCCCAACCCAGTCCTGGCAAAAAGATTTTCAAATCCCATAATTTACGATCAATTCATTCAACATTTCCTTTTTTAGAGGACAATTTTGCACATCTAAATTATGTATTAGATATACTAATACCCTACCCCGTTCATCTGGAAATCTTGGTTCAAACTCTTTAGCTTCCGTTGCAGAAGATCGCGTCTTTGTTGGAACTCTCTCCTTGTCGAAAAGTATTTTAAGTTATCAAATGTTGGATATATATATATTTCTCACAAAAAAATTGTGAGATAAAGAGCAGATGGATCCTATCCCCTATATCGAACACTCATTCCTATCTATTGATAGAAAGATCTTCGTCAAATACCGGACTTTTGGCTGGTAATCACATCGGCCATAAGGTGGTCTATCACCTCGGTTGGGGAGAAAAGCTTTTTTGTTGTCGGAAAATCCCTCTCCGCTCGAATGACATGATTCTCGAGGAGTTACACGACGGCCATGTGATGATGCATCAAATAGATGCAAGGGTGGATGACTCAGTAGGAAATTGGGATAAAAAAAGGAAGAATTTACGCTCTTTCAAGTTCAAGAAAGAGATTTAAGTCCTTTATGGCCCTTTCAACCCGCCGAAATGGAAGGCTTTGCACTGTACCCAACTGGAGAATCTCCTTCAGGTGCAAAGCGTAAGTCCTTTCACTAAGCGCTTCTCCCATTGGGGAGAAGATGAGCCCCCTGATCTGGTGCCTCCTTTGATTAATTTGAGAAAGTCTTTCAGTGGTAGCTGGATCCATATCTCCCTTTGCTTTGCCAAATAGAGAAAGAAGCTTCTATTTATAGGCGTTGGAGGCCCTTAACCCTTTCTTATTATTAGTAAGATAGGTTGTCTTGGTTCCGTAACATGGTTCAAACCTGGCTTTTCATGAATATGGAACCCCATTAGCTGACATAGGAATAGCTGGCAAAGGAAGAGCTTCCGCTAAGATTCTGACTTATTTGGAAACTAGATTTGCTGCCCCTGCAGACTCTTCTTTTGAAGAATCTGATTCGCTAACATTGGTATACTGAATTTGCGGCATGGCAGGGATAAACTTTCCCGTTATCGGAACAAACATTTTATTTCCAGGGTTCCTCACTTGTTTTTTACTTTCTTTTTTACGAAAAAAAATTCCCAACCCTAGTCAGCGAGCTTAAAAACTTTCTCCTTTCTCCCATTCCGTCGGTCAACAACCAACTAAATCTATACTTCTTCACTACTCGTACAGGCTTGACGGAGTGAAGAGCTGGACTTCTTTTTCCTGACTCGATTCACAGTTTAATCACACTAAGCCAGAGCCCAACCAGGGTGAGAGAGATAGGAGAGTAGGGACGGGGAACCAATGTCACCAACAACACTAGCAGTCTCGGATCTTTGAATAGACAGAGAGAGATGCTTTAAGCTCCATTTTTTTTATAGGACCTGAAGGCTAGGCTAAACCTCCCTCAAAGGGATTCCTGAGCGGAACTTTCGTACAGATCTTCATAGTGGACATCGACTCATCCGACTATGATGATCTTGTCTTGGCTCTTATTGATGAAAAGTCGCCCATTTTTCTTCAATTTTTATTCATGATTGGGTCGACCAGGCCAGATCATGAGTGAATAGAAAAAAAAATGTACATAGCTGTTCCAGCTGAAATACTTGTAGGTGAACCTGAAATAGTATGGGTTTCGGGGAATTTAAGGGTGAATTTTCTAAGTAAGCTAGGTCAATGCCAATTTAATCTACATGCTACGGTAGCCCCTTGGACCTTAGCCTCTTAAGGGTTGGGTTCTAGTGGCGGGCTCTTGGGTCGTCCGGACCCATATCTGGTAAAAGTGGTGGCCTGGTTGTCCCCACACCCCCTTATCATGCGTGTCTGTGGGAGCAGTTTGTGCTAGCGTTTTGGCGCCCTCGATCTTCAAAGAAAACTGACTCCTCCTACTCCTCCTTCTCCTTTAGGATAGGATCCTCCTTGGTCCTTCTTTCACTAATGGTCTCACCATTTTCTAGTAGTAGTAGTTCGCGCGAGGGACTTTTCTATCGCTTGCCCTTCCACACAGAATTGAATACTATTTTTAGTTGGGGTGAAGTCTAAAGTTAGTACGTATAAATATTATTATTATTATTATTATTATTAGTTGGGGAGGTGAAGGGTGAAGTCTAAGTTAGTACGTATAAATATTATTATTATTATTATTAGTTGGGGAGGTGAAGGGTGAAGTCTAAGTTAGTACGTATAAATATTATTATTATTATTAGTTGGGGAGGTGAAGGGTGAAGTCTAAGTTAGTACGTATAAATATTATTATTATTATTAGTTGGGGAGGTGAAGGGTGAAGTCTAAGTTAGTACGTATAAATATTATTATTATTATTATTATTATCAAACAAGCTAATCTTGCAAAAATATTTATTTTTAAATTATGACTATTTGATAAAGAAACAGTTATAATTTAAATGGATTGAATTTGAGCAAAATTGGCAATCCAAGTCTCCTTAAACCGGCCAATCTGTGTATGCCACGTAGGCGAGCACATGGATTGTGCTTCTTTAGTTTAAATCTTGGCCCTACGATTAAATCTAATGGTCCTAGTTAATTAAGCTTTTACCATTATTTAATATATATATAACTTTTTCTTTTGATTTCTGATTTATCTTAGCCGTCCGATCAAACGATCGGACGGCCCGAATTAAATAGGACATTTTCATCTTTTCCCAAAATTGTACAACCCCTACCGCCCCTAATCTTTCAACTCCCCCAATGTTCTTCTCCACTTTTCAAGAAAAGGACGACGCCTCACCCTTTCTTCTCCTTTCCCAGGAGCCTGCACGCTGCACACTCACCTTCCCCATGCCTCTTTCAACCTTTCCCATCATCCGCTGCCAAAGAAACGGCTATGAACCGCCGGAAAATAACAATATCCGGCGGTCTCCAACGTCACCTCTCCCTCCATCCGCCGTCCATCAATCACAACCCTCCCTCCCTATGAGCTTTATGTCTTTTCCGATTTATTTCTGACCTAAAGCAGGCCTAGAAACCTCAACCATCACCATTGCTAGGCCTGGAAAGTTGAGGGATGCAAAGAACCATTGGACTTTGGTTGGTTATACCTTAATCTAACAGGTTTTAGAGTGTGAGTCTATCCCAAAATCGGCTATAAAAAAAGCCATTTGTTTCCCATTGGGATGAACAGGGAGAGATCCGAAAAAATCAAGAAAAGAATCGAGAAAACGGATAGGAACAACATCAGGGAATGAACAAAAAATAGAGATAGAACACACCTCAAGCATTAGATTTAAGAAAATTTCTATCTTCTTTCATCTTTCGACTTTCGGTCTTGAATTCGAGTTTGAGAAAGTTCAAAGTTGGAATATTTTGACGTCAAAGCTTTAGTTTGCTGCTCCAAAAAAGATATGCCAACAGGTTCAAAATACAAGGTACATATATATATATATATATATATATATATATATATATATATGTCATACGCAAAAAGGTACAAATTCTATATTATTTAGTTTTTCTCTGTATGTAACTTATTATTTTGATACACTTCATCTTATTTGTTTCTCATATCTACTATCACTTTTTACAAATGTTACTTTTTTTTTATAATTTATAAACGCCTACACTTAAATATACATATTACTTTACTAAATCTAATCTATTGTTGACTTATCCTTATATGTAAATAAAATAATAAACATTCACATCTTTTACACAACTTACATGTATATACTACACTTTATAATAAACATATTTTAGATCGCAAACCTTTATATAATATTTTAACATCTAGTATCAGTTATTTTATTTTATTTTTAGAAAACTCCATTCTATATATTTTCATTCAAATTACACATCACATATATTACTACATATTTACACTCAACTA